TCTTTCCCTGCCCCCCATGCCCTGATTTAAAAAAATAAATAAATAAATAAATAAATAAATAAAAAAAATTAACCAAAACACAAAAACCCTCCAGACCTCATGTTCTTTTGTCCTGGATTGAGAGTAATTTTTCTTGCCCGAACCAAGACCTTTCTGGCATCTCTTAGGAAAGGGGGGAATTGAGTGCAAACAATGCAAAAAGTTCTGCAGCTGTAAAGTGATGCTATCATTGTCAACAGTGGGATATCTTGGATACGAAAAAGGAAGGACTCCGCAGTGGGCTCTGCAAATATGGCTATTTCTAAATGTATGAAGGAAATCTAGTATTTATGGTTTTGTCCGCTCATCCAGCTGATCTGTTCTTGGTTTTTTTCTGTTGGCTGTTTATCAGTTAATACTTATTGTAAGCTGCTCTGAGCCTTTTGAATAGGGCAAGATATAAATTTAAACAGCAATAGTACACTGAAATAAAGATGTGTTTACAGTTAACTCTGTTAAAGTAGCCAACTTCTATATTTCCTTGAATTATATTACATCTTAGTGTTGTTCAACTGAAAATTTGATATCTAAGTATTGAACAGATACTTGTTTAAAGTTGATGCAGTTCATTTATTTCTCCTTTTCACTCAGTAGACATTTTCACTAAGTTGCTGGTTTTCCTGCACCAACACTTGCAAAATGAAATAATCTTGTATAGGCAGTAGTAGTATTCTAGTACTTGGTGCATATTTATTTATCATAAATTGTTGTAAAATATATTTTATACAATACATTTTTCTGGCCTTGGTTTCCTTTCAGCAGTAACCATTACCTTTAGCCTTGGTGTTTTGTGTATACTGGCAAGGTGGTGTTAGTTAGGGCTGTGTGGCACCTCAGTCCCTGGTTCAATTTGGCCCGATTCGGTGGCCAAATCTCCAAATTGAATCGGAGGACGCTAATCTCTCCGAATCAAATCGGAACCTCCGAATCAATTCGGAGAGATTTGAAAAGAACCTGCGATTCAGGTGTAGACGCAGCTTTAAATGTTTTCTTCTACATACCTCAGGGTATCAGGTGGCTTGTGAATGCTGTGATGCTTGGGCGCATGAGTGTCCCATAGGAGCGCGGGGGGGTCCCTAGCGCATTGGGCAGCAGACCTGGAAGTGGACCAGGGTCTGCTGGGGAGCCCCGCAGTGACTGGTGCCTTCTGGGTCTGGAGGGGTACCCAGGGTCTCCCTGCACTCCTGTGGGATGCTCCATCCACCCCACCTTCACAGTATTCGCACGCTGTGCCTGGTACTTTGAGGTATGTAGAAAAAACATTTGAAGCTGAGTCTGTGGCCGAATTGCTAATTCTCTGAATCGGCATTGAATCTTCAGTTTCGGCTGAATCGAATTGGGGACAGTGATCTGAATCAACGAATCGAATCGCTGTCCATGATTCGGGCTGAATCCAAGTCGGCCCCATTTCACACATCCCTAGTACTCGTACCAAACTGATAGGTGTTGATGTGTACTCCTTTTCATCTATGTGTTGGCTTATTCATCTATGAGGCATGAATGTCAAATCTGGATGTAACCCATTTCATTACCAATATGCTACTTGGGTGATCCGAGTGTCTGGTGGCATGATTCTTGAAAACTTAAGCTTGTGACTTTACAGCCACCACTGTACTTTCCCTTGTGTTGGCCCTTTGTGCATTAGCCTTTCAGCATGGGGTTATTTTTTTTCTAATAGTGTCCAGAATATACTAGATCCTTTCCAAACAGGAGAGAAAACATGATCCCTCTTCTGAGGGATTTGCAATCCAAAGAGAAGCAAAGTGTTAGAGGCAAGTGACATAGTATACTGAAAACAAACAAACAGGACACGTGGCCTAAAGTCAGTGTGCCCTCCCTTACCTGCTTTCCTCCAGAATATTTCCTTACTGTATCCTAAAAATGTTCTGTGGAATAAATTCAAATGGAGGATGGGTACAGGGCTGCTTTAATTGTTGCTGCATAAATTGCTCGATGGTATTATGCAGTTGTGAGCCATGTGTATTCTGAGAACTGTAGATAGTCTTATAGGGTTTTGGAGTTATGCTAAGAGCAAACCTAAACCAGTGTCAACCTGTAACTGGGGGTCTCTAGCTGGTGAGTCTTTTGTGCAAGAACAGGTGTGCCATTTGTAAAGGAACTAACAGTGCAGTGGTCCTCAACCTTGCTACTCAAGCCCCCCCCTCCCCTCTTCGCCCACTGGAAAATGTCAGCTCTTGGCTTCCACTTGTTTGTTTGACTACCGAAAAATAATAGAGCTGTGCTTTTGCAAATAACTCAGACTATGACAGGTAAGATTGTGTTCTGACACTGAATTCTTATTTGAAATCTCTGGATTTATCACGGGTACCTGTTAGCTCACTGAGTGGTGCTAATGTTATGTGGTACCCTATGGCACCCTTGCAGTACCTCAGAGTACTCTCTGGTTGAGCACCTCTGCCATAGCTACTTGTTTTAGGCAAGTAGCTGCCACAAAGCAAATGTTTTAAATATGGATGCATGGTTATAAGTTGATGCGTTTTTAATAACAGACCAAGATAGTATGAAGGCTGCGTTAGAGAACTTTTTAAGACTTGTGCGTAAAGATTTTTCAAGGTGTTAAAAAAACAAAACAAAACAAAACAAAAAAAAACCTGCCAAAGAATTTAACCTTGTAAATGGAAATCTCCTCTTCCACTTAAGAGGAGGCAGGGGAAACAAGAAAGTGAAACCAACCACTTGCATGTTTACCAATGAACTCAAATTTCAGTGGCATCTGGAAAAACAGCAGCATAAGAGGAGGAAATGCCAGCTATGATTTCGTAAATATTTCAGTTTAACTATTAGTTTAGCACTCCTGTTTTTTAGTACTTTGACTATCTTTTTTTTGCCAGCTACTTGGTGTCTTGTTCTCTCATTTGTTTCTCCTCTTCCGACATAAGCTAGGATATTCCTCAGTGTTTCTGCTAATACTTAAGCAATAAGGTTTTCTTTTTATTATGAAATTTTAAGGTATTATGGTAAATTACTGTTTCCCCTTCTGTCCCCTTCAAGGACTTGGTTCTTTTTGCCCCATTGTACTCCTTCTTCAGCTTGTGGCCTGTTCTTTCTGTTGTTATCTTTTTGGTCTTTAATATGGACTATATACTTCATGTCTGTCAGAATATTCTAGCAGAACTTCCTTGAGGTTAAGCACCTGGTAAAATTAAGGATGAATCTTTAATTGGCTATATTCATGCTGCCTTCTTGAGCTACTTCTGAATGCATATGCAAGTTAATGTATTAATATGATACTCCATTAATATGAGGCCTTATTTGCTGAACATGGTACTACTAGTCAAATGACGCTGAAAATCCAGCCAACTTGCTAGAATTTTAAGTGCTTTAGTACAGTCTTCCTGTCATAGGCAAGTTTCTTAAACACATGCCTAGTAATCTGAGGGGCACCAAGATTTTGGTTTTAGGGCTCAGCACCCTCATGCACGTTGCTCTTGTACAACTTTAAAAGTATTAGATTGGTTTCTGTGTCTTTTAACACCTGCTTTTGGGATCCCTCTGTATTTTCTCCCTTTTATTCAAATGAAATGCATCTTTGTAAATTTCCTTATACGTTTAAATATTTTAAAACTGAAACCAAATTGTATCAACTCCAGTTGTGATTGTGAGATTGCCTCGTATGCTCGTTCTCGTGGAGTTTAACAAATACTTTATTTTCTTGTCCGTCTCCTTGAACAGTGCTCAGTGTCTGTTACTGGTAAGCGAGGCATCCTTGATTGAGAGAAATGGCAAGTATAGACTGTAGAAACTTCTGATTCTTCACTGAAGTGACTTTTGGTAGAACAGCAAACACCCAGTAACAGTAGTTGAGCCTGAAAAGTTGCGCTATATGGGAAGATTTTTATTTGCTGCTTCAGCTGAGCTGTGCCGCTCCTAGTAGAGCTGAGGGAAAGGGTGAAAATACCCTATGGCCCTTAGACATTGTACACTTATGAGCTTAGGTAAGCAAAATGTGGTGGAGGGCTACAAGTGGAGTGAGTGTTGAGCCTAGAATGAGCAGGTCAGACCCAAGAATAGTGTTTATTGGAATTCAGGTAGTAGAGACAATGGTTTTAGTTAAGTGGTTCTCAGATGCTTGGAGTATTCCCCCCCCCCCCCCCCCACTAGGAGCTGTA